AAGTCTCCCAGCCACCTTTCCTGGGACCCTGAGGCTCCGGCTTTTTGCCAGCTGAGTCCACAGCTGCTGCGAAGTGGTTCCTAGACAGTGGCCCCCTGGCTTCTGCCTCCGTTTATTTCTGGAGTCACAGCTGAGTCAGGAGGTGGGGAAAGTGAATGGGGCTGAAGGGAGGGAGTTGGAAGCTGGGAGGGGCGAAGACTATAGGGGGAAGAGGGCTCTAGGACCTGGGACTCTGGGACCTGGGGTCCACCCCATTCAGGCAAGAGGGGCTAGTGCTACTGCACGAAGGTCAGGTGTTAGGTGACAGGAGGGACATCCACATTGGAGAGACCAAAAAATGGCCTTGGGGAAGGAGTGCGGAGCAGGAGGCAGAGTCTACTGCTTCTGAGACACTAGCGAAAAGACAAGACTGATCTTGGTGTTGGGGTACTAGATTAGATAGAGGGTGGGCAGAACCAGAGAGGTGTACGTGGGGTTTCCGAACACGGAGAGGAAACAGGGGACTGTGCTTTCCTCTGCTCTCCATTGCAGACTCCGAGGGACCCTCGCCTGAGGCCATTCTGCCTCTTCCTGCCCTGAGCCCACCCGTCCCTTCCCCAACTGAGTGACTCCAGAGTCTCCTCCTAAGCTTTCTAAGGTGGGTCTGTGGACTCAGGAACAGATGCCTGGGCCCTTCTTTTATTCACAAGGAGCCTTTCCTTTTCCCACCTACTATGCAGGTCAATCCTGCTGCAGGGGCCCTCCTAGGGCAGCCTACCCTGTGGGCTGGGGGCGGGGCCCAGTTAGGACACAGGAGCCTGTCCCAAGCCTAGGGTCCTCTTGGGTTTCCTGAGCTCGGCTGGCTTGGTCTGCATCCCTCCCCTCTCTGTGGGCAGCCTCAGAGGCACATTCCAGTTGGAATTAAATCGCATTCCTCCTTCTCCGCCTGTCAAGGGTAGCAATGCTGACAGCAGCTGTGACACCACAGGGTCAAGTGGCAGCAGCTGGTTCCCCAAGTTGGGGCTGGGAAGGGGGAGCGGAGGGGAGCCGAGGGACCAGGGCCTTTGGAAGCAGTAAATGAGTCTTTGCCCTCAAGAGGCCAGAGCAAGGGGGGCAGACTCCGTAGCAGAAGGGAAAAGGTGAGCCCAGAGGGTGTCAGGGCTGTGCGGGGCCTCAGAGGGTACGCCAGTCATGCAGGTGGGAAAACCAGGGTCCCAGCGCTATCTTCCCAGAGGACCCTCGAAGGACACCCTCTCCCCAGCACCCTCGACTGGGCTCCCAGAGCAGACATGAAGGCCCAGGGGCCCTTTAAGAGGCCCCGCTCTGAACTCCCTTGGCTGGAGCCCAAAGCCTCAGCCTTTGATTTCCTCTGAGACTCTGGCAGCCACAGGGGCAGCAGGGACAGCATCAGGCTGGGCTGAATGGAGAGCTCAGCCCTGACCTCACCCTCCATGGCCCTCGGCCTGCACAGCCTTATAAGGAAGTGCCCTAAACACAGGAGGAAGCCACCTGGGAGGGGCCACCCTACCCCCCCACCCCCACCCCACTCAGAGGCTATATTTACCCAGAAGAGACCTCAGAATAACCTCCCACTTGTCCTGCTGGTGTGGGGAGAGTGCTGTCTCCTCATTCCCTCCTCTGGAGGGGACTCCACCCTCCGAAGTGCTTCCTGTTGTCAGACTTTATCATATTCATTCCTTCATTCATTCATTTATCCAATCCAAGTTTACTGAGCACTCTTGGGCCCTCGGCCACTGGGCTGGACAAAGGCCTTGCTTTCTGGATCTTTCTACAATGACAGGACCTTCTCAGGTGCCACAGTCCCCTGGTCCTCCTATTCTCTGGCCTCTCCTCCAGCCCCTGCCAAGCGTCTCCTCTCTGCCAGGAGTTCTCTGGGGGCTCCATCTGGGTGACCTCTAGACCAACAGCCCTCCAATTCTTGTCTTCAACCTGGTCCTCGCTCCTGAGCTTCATGTGTCACCCTCCTCCGGCGCAGCCCCTCTGGGAGCTCACAATTTCCTGCTGGGTTCTCTGGCTCAGAGATGAGTCCATTGTCTCCCAGCTGCCCAGGATAAAACCCTGGGAGCCCCTGCTGCCATATTCCCCCGTCTCCCACCGTGGGTCACAAGTCCTGAGACCCTGCTGCCCTTCCGTGCCTCCTCTCCATGGCGCCGCCACCGCTGCCACCGCCGCCACCGCCGCCCCTGCCCTGACCGTTGCAGGTGTCTCCCGGAAGCACCCCTGCTTACTCCAGGCAGTGCTTACAGTGGTCAGAAGGTTTTATTTTAAATGCAAACTTAGTCATGTCACCTCAGAGGCTCCTCATATCCCTCAGGAAGAAGTCTGTATTTTCTGGCTGCCTTGGCCACTGACCTCGACTCTCTCTCTAGTCTCACTATCAAACTTCTTCTCCCTCTTCTCCACCCTCTGGCCACACAAGCCATCTTTTTGTTCCTCAAATGTGCAAGCTCCCTCCTCTTGCCTCAGAAGTGCGCACATGGTGTTCCCTCAGACCAGAATCCTGCCCCCCAACCGCCAGCTCCTGCTCATCCACTTGGTTCTCAGCGCAGCCGCCCCTGTGTCCCTGGCCACCTCCTCTGGTCCTCCTCCAGCCCACCACAGGCGAGGTCCTCTGCTCTTTGCTCCCCTTACCTCCTGTACTTCTCTGCTTTCAAATAGGACTTCACTCGAAGCCCTTGTTCAATTAGAAGATAAAGCTTCCTGAGCGAGGAACCCTTGACTCCCAGTGCCTGCATAGTGCATAGCACATAGTAGATGTTTAGTAAATATTTGTTGAAAAATGACAGTCACTCCTGTTCTCACCACCAGGAATGTCCCTGTTCCTGTCAAGCCTGTATTTCTCTTGCTGTATAAACGGATGACCATTTCCAGAAAAAACAAACCTTCGCCTACCCCCTTTAAGAAAGTCTTCACTTTTGCTAACTTACATCCCTCCTCATTGGGGACTGTTAGTAGAATCAGCTGGTTTGGGTAACTGTGGGTGACCAGGGACCCTGGTGTGTGGGGCAGGCTGGTCACCAGGCACAAGGAAGGACTGCTTGGCTGGGCCTCTATCCTTGTCCCTTGCCCAGGAAGGGGTGCCCGAGCGCCTGGGGAGATCACGCGCAGGGCTCCTGTGTCCCATCAGAGGGTCAGGGAGTGGGCCTCACTTGTCTGGATGCCAGTGTGCTGGCCCCCAGCCTCGCAGCCTGGCGGGTCCCACAGGGCCTGTGAGTGGCGGGTACAGGAAGGAGCCTGGAGGCTTGGGCTGCCAGAAGGGTGGGGAGAGAGAGCCTCCTGGACTCTGAGGGCAGCGGTGTGTGTCGTGTAAGGGCCTGAATGCCCAGGACAAAGACTCCTAGATGGAGGAGGAGAAAGGCACGGGCAGAGAGGCAGACAGTGTGACTCTGTCAGGGACCCCCTGTCCATCCCTCCCGTGGCTAGAGGATATGAGTTGGGGCCAGATCGGCTGAGACGTCCTCTCATCTTTCCCAGGACCTCAGCCTGCTCCCAGACTTGAGCTTGTCTGCAAATGTGGAACATTTATTTGGCAGCCCCTATCCCACCCCCACCAAGGATATTTAGAGGTATCGCCAGATCTTCCTTCCTTACTGAGCTGAGCTGGGGAGAGGTTTCTATTTGGGTATCATGATTTCAAGGCCTTCAGGCCCCACCTAACCCAGGAACCTCTGGTCCCTCCCTGCCCCGGGAAGGGGTTGGGACGGAGAGAAGCTGTGGCTGCGTGTCCCCACCCTACGCCTGCCCCGGTTATCAACAGAGCCCCTCGCTCTCGTCTGGCCCCTGCGCCTTCAGCCTCTCCTCGGCCTCACTCCCCTTTTCTGGCTTCCCTGTCTCCTGCTTCAGCATGTGAGGAGAGAACTACTGAAGGTCAAAGCTGAAGCCCTCCAGCTTCTCCTAGCCCTTCCTCCGGCTTTCCCTGTCCTGGGAGGCCCCCCCAAGTCACCAAGCCCAGTGTCCCCCATTGTGTGGCTGAGACCGAGATTCAGAGAGGTTAAATGCTGACCTGAGGCCACAGAGCCAGGCTAAGGCAGAACAGGCCTGCCTCCCCCGCCCCCCGCCCCCCGCCCCCTGCCCGACCCAAGCCAGGCCATGCAGACATCACAGGCCAGACAACTGTTTGGGTTTAGGGGCAAAGGGGCTTATTATGCTGGCGGCACTGAGGGGCGGGGGGGGGGGGGAGGACAGGCAAGAGTGGGGGTGGCACAAGCCCTACTCCCTTTAATCAGCCCTGTGGCAGAGCTGATGATGGCCTGCATGCTCAGGCACTGAGGCCGCCTGGCTCGGCACCCCCAGCCTGCCCCGGGGTCCCAGAACTGCCGCCTGCAGCCTTAGTCTGTCTGCTTTGTCTCCCCCATGAGGCCTACCAGGGCATCTGCTCCTCAGGAAGCAGCCCCTCCCCAACACCAGCATCTCCCAATTCTCCCCTGGGGACCCACTGAACTGGGAAAGAAAGAGTCCAGACTTTGTAGGTGGAGGCATTACTTTATTATATTTAGGCAAAAATGAGTCAGACAGAGCCCCACAGGGCAGGAGCACGGAGGGGGCAGGAGCACGGAGGGGTCAGGACACAGAAGCGCCCTCTCACGGGCCAGACATGCCATGAGGGTGGGGTGAGGAGGGGCAGGGGTGGTGAACCCCAATGCAAAGACCACCGCAGCCGCCCCTGTCCTTGGAGGCGGCACGGGACGCCAGGCCTTTTCCAGCTGAAGAAATGGGAGGGAAGGGGGTGCAAGGAGAGGGGCCCTAGTCCTGCAGGGATTCAGCTGGCTTAAACCTCATGGGACAGTGAAGGCATTATGGCCCCTTTGCAGGGTCTGAGAGGCTGTTTTTCACTCCTGGAGCCTCCATTTTTGGAATGGGTTCTTTTTCCACACTGTTTTACCTTGCCCAGCCAGGCCTCTCGGACAGAAACCACGTAAGTTAAGGTGCGGGCCCTGAGCAGAGATGGAGCTTGGGGACATGTCCCTGCCCAAGTCTGAAGTGCAGGAGGGGCACTGTCTCTAATCCTCCCCTGAGGACCAAGAATCCCCATCTCCTTCCCTCGGAGTGAACTTCAGGAGCTGGCCTGGGCCCAGAGGAAGAGGAGCCCCGGCCCAAGGGGTCTTCAGGGCGCCCCCCTCCTCCTCCAAAGGGCTGCCTTGGTCCCCCTCGAGGGCCCCCAGTTTCCCCTGCCCCCCTCCAGCAGACTGCTCCAACCGGCTCACCACCCCCCCGTTCACATGCTCCAGCTCTTTCTTCAAGCTGGGGCCCTGGCCATTGACACCAGGGGTGTCCTCTCTCCCACCGAGGGTCCCCAGAGGGCCACAAACTTGGTCCTCCCTCTCCGAGGGAGCAGCGTCAGACTCTTCCTCTGAGCCAGAGGGCTCAGTGCTGTCCTGGGACTCAGTCTCCAGGACAGTCGTGGGGTCATCAGCCGCTGCACCCCTCAAGCCATCATCCCAGGGGATGCTGACATTCACCGTCTCGGGCCCCAGGAGGTTCCCACTCTGGGGGCGACTCAGGGCAGGGAGGCCACCAACAGGGGACCCTGGCCTCCACTGCCCCACCCCTGGCTCTTTGCCCTCCTCTTCCTCTTCTCCTTCCTCCCCACTCTCTTCTTCATCTGCAAACCCATCAGACTCCCCATCCTGACCCCAGGCTGCAGGCTCCAGTAGCAGCTGGGACACCTGGCCCAGAGGTTCCATCAATTCCCTGGCCACCCCAGGAGGGATAGAACCCTCAGTTCCCACGTCCTCAAATTCTTCTGATAGGTCCGAGTCCTGGCCACACTCCTCACCCTCTTCTCCCCTCTCCTCCTCCTCTTCTTCCTCTGGGTGAGCCCCACAGCCCTCAGGGGTCAAGAGAGCAGGATCCCAGCCTTCTTTTCTGGTCTCCCCTTGAGGGGAGGGCCTCTGCTCTTCAGCTAGGTCCCACCTGGGTGAGGCAGGGCACCTGAGGTAGAGGGCCAGGGGAGTGGAGTCAGGAAGGGTCTCCCCCAGCTCATCAGCCTCACTCTCATCTCTGCTCTCCTCCCCCTCATCCTGGAGGCCCTCAGGGAGCCCCCCAGACCCCAACTCTTCTTTCTCACCCTCCACTTTTTCCAGGGCCTCAGCACTGCCCTCTAGCTCCCCGCTAGCCTCCTGGCTCCCTTCAGCTAGGGGCTGGGGCCCGGAGGCATCTTCGGGGACTGGGGTGAGCAAGCAGGGCTCAGTGGGACTTGGGCTGGAGGGCCCTGGGCTGGGGGGCCCTAGCACTGGTCCTGCATCCTTCTCAGCTTCCTCTGACCCCGGGAGCCTGGATTGAAGGGTATCACTTCCATCATGGGACAAGGTCTCAGCAGGAAACACCTCCATTGCTCCCCAGGGGGTCTCAGGCTCCAACTCCTTCCCAGCCCCATGAGACTCCAGAGGGTCTCTGCCCTTCCTGAGCAGTATGGGAAGCTCTGGCTCCAGAGCAGCTGCCTCCTCTAGGTCCTTTCCAGGCCCTTCTAAGCCCTGCACCCTCTTTGCCTCAAAGCCTTCTTCCCCCAGGGGTGGCTCCATCACCTCCTCTCTGGCCAGGTGGCCTGGGTCCTCCAACTCTACCATCTCCTGCTCCAGTCCTTGCTCAGCTTCTGAATCAGACTCACCCCCAGCTGTCTCCAACCCCAAGATGAGCTCTCGGGGAGCTTGGCCACCCCCCGGGGCCTTATCCGCATCTTCCAGCACTGGCTCTAGCACCTCTGACATTCCCCAGGGGGTTTGGAGGTCTGGGGCCCCGGTATGCTCTGGCTGCCCTTCAGGGTCCAGAAGGCCCTCAGCATCTCCCTCCCTGCTGGTGCCCTCAGCTGAAACCCTCTGCTCTTTGGGCTCAGGGCCCCCTGGGTGCCCCTCACCTGTGCTCCAGACTCCCCCTGTTGCAGTCAGCTGCAGTTCTCCCTCCTCTGCTGATTCCTCCTTTCCACCGATGCCACCCCGTTCCCTCAGGTCCAGCTCTGCCTCATCCTCGTTGCTTACTCCAGCCCTCCCGGAGGGCTTTTCCTGATCCAGTCTTTGGTCTCTCACCACCGTATCTTCCCACCTCTGCTGATTTGCAGACAGCAGCAGTTCCTGTCCCTCCTCTTCCAGAGACCTCAGTGACTCCTGATTCTCTCCCTTCTCCAGGGTCTCTTCTTCTTGCAGGTATCTTTGACTTTCTTTGTCTACCTCCTCTGGAGTTCTCAAATTTCCCAGAGGTCTCAGTGATTCTTGATTCTCCTTTTCTAAAGGCTTTGGTGACTCTTGATTCTCTTCCATAGATGCCAGTGGTTCTTGAATTTCCTTTTCTAGAGGCTTTGTTGTCTTCTGATTCATTTCTTCCAGAGACCACAATGGCTCTTGAGTTTCTGTAGACTTTAATATTTCCAGATCTTCTCCTGCACACTTTAGTGATTCTAGATTCTCTATTTCTAAACATCTCATTGCATCTACACTCTCTTCTTTTAGGGATATTAGTAATTCTTGATTCTCTTTTTCAAGAGGTCTAAATATCCCCTGGTCTTTTCCAAGAGACTTCAGTGGCTCTGGTTTCACCTTTTCCAGAGGTCTCAATGTCATTTGGTCTTTTTCTCCTAGAGACATCAGTGGCTGTTGAGTCTCTTTTTCTAGAGGTCTCATTGTCTCTTGGTCCTCTTGTTCTAGAGACCTCAGTGGTTCCTGGTTCTCTTTTTCTAGAGATTTCAAGGTCTCCTGGTTTTCTTCTTCTAGAGACTTCAGAGATGTAACTTTTTCAATAATTCCCAGTGCTTTCTGGTCCTCTTCTTCTAGAGACCTCAGTGGCTCTTGGATCTGTTTTTCTAGAGCTTTCAAGGACTCAAGGTTCTCCCCTTCTAGGGACCTGACTAGTTCTTGATTTTCCTTTCCTGAATATAAAAATGTCTCTGGATTATCTTCAAGAGATCTCATTAGTTCCTGATTCTCCTCTCCTAGAGATTGCAGTGTCTGTGGGTCCTCTTTTCCTATAGGCGTAAGTAGTCCTAGAGTCTCTTTTTCTAGCGTTCGCACTACCTCCATGTCCTTTTCTTCTAAGGACTTCAATAGCTCTTGATTTTCCTTCTCCAGAGATCTCAGTGTCTCGTGGCTGTGTTTTTCCAGAAACATCAGTGGCTCTTGAATCTCCTCTTCCAGAGACTTCAGAGTGTCTTTTTCCAAAAGACCCTGGGATTCCTGGATTCCCCTCATGTCCAGATCCCCTTCTTTTTGTTGTGTTTGCTGCTGCAAGCTGCTTACCACTTTGACTTCTACAGCTATTTCTTTCTCTGCCAGCTCCCACATTTGCCCTTCGCCTTTCTCCTGGAATCTGCTGGATAATCTAGTCTCACCGGGTTCTCCATCTTTAGCCTCTAAACTGAGGTGGTCAGGGATAAGGGGTGGAGCCAAAGAGGCATGATCCTCAGGAGACTGGTCTGTACTGGCCTCTTGCTGCCTTTCCCCAGATTTCTCTGGTCCTGGAAGGATGCTGGCAGTAATAGCTATATTGGCTTCAGCCTGTGTGGCCTGCGGAACTTGCTGCCTCCCAACCTGTGGCTGGAGCACAGAGAGAGGGGCATCCTGGGCTCTGATCTCACCATCTGTAGCAGGGCAGGGAGCCTGAGGTGTGGGTGGAATGGGGGTGCTGGCCAAGGTGGAGGTACGGGCTGGGAGGAATTCCTGGCTCTTCAGAAAGGCTGGAACAGGTGTCTCAAGGGTATTAGGTAAGGGTGAGGAAAGGGGAGTAGGGCTCAGGACAGAGAGTAAAGGTCCCAGACGCCGGCCCTCTGGAGTCCCAGGAAAATGCAGCTCCAGTTTAGGGTCTGGAAAGGCGGAAGAGAAGATACGGTGTCAGTGTGTGCTGGCAGGGGGCTGGGGCTACAGCAGCTGCCACGCCAGGCAAGAGTGTCCATGGACCCTGCCGGGGCTCTTGGGGGCCAAGGAGTCAAGTCTTAGACTGTTGCCTCTCAGAAGAGGAACCTCTCTGGGGTATGAAAAGGAAAGAAAGGTAGAGTTTTGGGAGAGGAAACCATGGCCCCAACTCTTACCCTGGAAGCTGAAGGAAGCCTTAGAACCACAGCCAGGTACCTGCAACCGGGAGTTCTCAGCCTCTAGGAGGGTCCTGGGGGGGGCGGGGAGGAAAAACTGGGTCAGTCCTCCGTCCATAGGCCTGTAGGCAAACCAGCCAGAAAAAGCCCTGGCATTGCTGGAATCCTCTTCATTTTATGACTATCACACAAATGCCACAGGTGGGTGGGGTTATACTTGGGGTTATACATGAAATCACATAATCACATCTCCAGATATCACACACATGGTCACACAACATCACACATATATTTGGGACACACAGATGAACTTACAGACACAAAAGCAGATTCCCACACAAGAGACACAGCGTACACACACACTCACATATTGCTTAGACCAGTCTCCTCCTCCCCCACCCCAGCCCAGTGACCTCATCCTCTGTGTGTGGGGCTCATTCTCATGCTAATTTCTGCCATTGTCCACACCACAGTCTGGAGGGTCTAAGGAGGGGGCTTTCCAGGGGAAGTGGGAATTCTCAGGCGGTTCCCATGGGATAGGCTCCCTCCTCCTCCTCCTCCTCCTCCTCCTCCTCCCCCAGGGCCCAGGAGCTTGTCTCACAAAAAAAAAAAAAAAAAAAAAAAAAAAAAAGAATTCAGCTCCCTCTCTCCAAATCCTTTTCATGCCTCAAAAACTCAAAGATTAAGCCTGCTCAGACCCTTCCCCTCAGTGGTGTGATTAGGGTCAAGCCCCTCATCTTGGGACCTCTAAGTACCCTGGATCACAAGTCTTTCAGAGCAGTGGGGGTCTTTGTGCTCATGCCCTTGCCTTGGTGCCCCATGGGGACTGAGGGGGAGGGGACCACAAGGGGGAGGGGAGACCAATGAATTCAACAGGTTGTGCTGAACATCAGCTCGACTCTTCTTTACAATCTCTGAGTCTGATTAGGGTTGTCTGCAGTCTCGTCTCCATCCGTCTCCATCCTTGCCCACGCAGCGTTCTGCCCTGTGAGCTCATGCAGCCGCTCCCTTCCTCATCCCTGGGTCCTCACTGACTTTCTTTCCTGGGCCCTGTTTCCCCTTCCCTCCAGAACCTGTCCTAGGACCCCTGCCTTTGTTTGCCTATGGGTTCTGGGAGCACTGTCCTCATAGCTTGTCTTGCCTTGGACCATATAGGGGGCTTGGTATATGAAGCCCTTCGTGGTAGCAACGCCGCTCCCTCAGGCAAAATCACTGACCCCTCAACCAACCAGGCGAGTTTCACAGAAAAGGCTGTGAGCTTGCCCAAGGCCACACAGCCAAAGAAGCAGCACCTCCTCAGTCTCTGCCCTTCCAGAGCTAATAGGAAATGTGGCTTGCAGAAGGGTTGGGTAGGATCAAGGGATTAGGGCTCGAGAGTAGTCAGGCCCCATGATATTCAGGAGGGAAGGGGCCTTGGATGGCACCCAGCCTGTCGTCCATCTTCCAGGCAAGGAAACTTGTCATTGCAAGCCAGTGTCATCGACCCACACCTGAAGTTCCTCCTTTCTGAAGTTGCCCAAGGACGTCACCCCCTTGGTGTGAGCACACACACAGAGAAAGGGCTTTTCACCCTTGGGGTGAGGGTCTGGATGCAGAGGCCCCACATGTGTCCAGCCCTCTCCCCTCAGGCTGTCCCACTCAGCAATACCACCTCTCCTTCGGGGATTTCCTGGGCACAGGATTCTCCTCTGGTCCTGAACCCACAGGGGATTAAGTGGGCTCTGGTGGGAAATATCCTGGTGTGAAAGGAATTAGCCTAGAGTCACAGAACCTAGAGGTGACAGAGCTGCCACCGCACCCATGGCTCTGTGCCCCTTCAGCTGAGGAGCCTCTGCCCTAACCTGTAATGTGTACATCTGTGTGCCTGGGAGGGTCAGGGTCAACTTGTACCTGTATGTGGCTACCTCCAGGCTGAGGGACATCTTGAGTCGTGACAGCTGCTGACGACCTTCCAGGACCTGGGCAATCTGACTCTGCAGGTCTTGTTTCTCTTGCTCCAGGGCCTCCACGGCCAGCTGCAGAGCAAGCCAGAGGCAGTCAGTAAGGAGCGGGGTCCTGCCTGCTCACTGACCTGCGTCCCCTTGGCTGCTGTAGCAGCACCTTCTTCTTCTGACTTCTCTGTGGAGCAGACTCCTGCCTCCCTGTCCACTCTCTGCCAAGAGAACCTCCTCTGGAGCCTCCAAGAGGAGCACAGGGGCCCCTCTCAGCCCTCTCCCTGGGCCTCCTCCTCTGAGGACGCCGATTAAATGGTTGCGCAGGCTGCTCAGAATTCAGATTCCACAGGAAGGGGGACCTGAGGGGCGGGGGAAGAGATGGGTTACAGAGAGGAGGAGAGGGGGGGAAAAGTAGAAGCAGAAGGAAAAACGATTAATCAAGAAGCCTGAAGCCTGCAGGACTGGAAGCCAAACTATCCTAGTCTCAATCACTGTCTTTTGCTCCTCACACCAGGCTCCCACCCCCTCCACTTCCTACGTGTTCTGGAATCTGTCCCTTGTGAGAAGAGGGTGGGGGAGTTGGCCATAGTGAGACCTCTGTCTGGCCCAGGCAGGGGGCTGTTTTCTCAGTTGCTGGTTACATCTGTGCAGTGTGAGGAGAAGCAGCTGTCCCAGGCTTGTGGAATGTGCTCAGCGAGTTGAGAAGCCATGACATGGGACAGGCGGAGATGGCCCCTCATACAGGGCCCCTCGCCCCCACCTGTCAGGGAGATGAGGGTGGTTAGGAACTCTGGAGACTCTGAGTAGCAGGACCATGAGGTGCAGCAGTGACGAGAAGGAAAGTCCTGGGCATCTTGCCAGTGACAGTAGAGCCTGGGGAGGGGCCCAGTGGCCATCAGAGTGGGAAGGTGTACACATGCCTTGGGCTTGTCTGCCCTTCCAGGCAGTGTGATTTGAGAGAGCTCTGAACGAGCGAGTTGAGAAAGTCCGGGCCTCTGACAGCAGCTCTGAGTTTTCTAAGAAATGGTTCCTGAATGAGCAGCCATCCTGTCCCCGCCTCCCACTCTCTTTTTCCCCAGAAGGTCTCTGAGCCCCGTAAGGACTTTTCAAAGCCTTGCCTTGCCGAGGCCCTCCACTTCCTCACCTGGAACTTCTCAGTGGCCCGCAGTCGCTCCTGCCAGCAGCCCTCCAACCTCTGCACCAGGGCTGCCCTGCGGTCTTGGAGGCCGCCGCGCTCAGCCTGGAGCTGCTGCAGCTCCAGGCGCCCCTTCCGGGCGCCCTGCACCACGCGACCCAACCGCTGGCGGGCCTGGCTCAGCGCCGTTTCCATGCGCGCCACACGCTCTTGGTAGCCGAGCACTGCTCCGCGCCACGCCTCGCCCAGCCGTCGTACGAGCTCCTCAACCTCGGGGCCCGGCGCTGGGGGCCCGCGGGGTGGGCTGGGGCGGCACGGGGGCCCAGCCACCGGCACGGTCAGGCTTGCTCGCTCCTCCTCGTGCGCCGCGCGCAGAGCCTCTAGCTCGCGCTCCAGCTCCGCCGCCCGGCTGCTCAGCCAGGCCTGGGCGCACTTCTCCGCCTCGACCGCACGCCGGCTGCGGGCCATCTCCTCTGCCATCCGCTCTCGGGCCAGACGCTGCTGCTGGCACCGGCCAGCCACGCTCTCCGCCTCTTCCTCCAGGCTATCGCGAGCCATCTCGGCGGCGTGCTTCTCCCGCCAGCGCTGGTCGACGAGGGCTCGCAGAGCTGCGAGCTCGTCGTCGGCACGGGCCCGCCAGGAGGCATCCCCGGACTGTGCCCGGAGACCCACAAGCTCCGTGCTGAGCAGCTCATAATGCTCCTCTAGCGCTTTGACTCGGGCCAGGTAGGCCTCCAGGCGTCGGTTGAGCTCCCACATCTGAAAAGATTCCTCCCCCAGGCAGCCCTCCATCCTGCTCGTCTGACCCACCGGAGATGGAGAGACGCGGAGAACCAGGAGAAGCCAGCGGCTCTCAAAGCTTTTAGGGTGAAAGGAAAAAGGAAACCGGAGACCGATGGGGACAATGACTGGACGAGGAGAAGAGCAGCCAGAGCGACTGAGAGTCCAGAGTGGGAGCGAGCCTATTCATACTCCCGCCAGTCTGGGGTGGGGGGTGGGGGAGACAGCGGGCGGGGGAGGCGGGACCTAAGCCTTAACCCCTTAGAGTTTAGAGGAACAGCTGCATCCTCTGTCCCTGCGACCCGATGAGCTGGATGGCGAGTGGAACGAAAGGAAAAGCCATGCCTGGAGAATCTGATCCGATGATGGTGACTTTCTAAGGGAGAAAGCTGAGAGGAAGGGTCATAACCCCTGATAAAAGAAGTTCATGCACAGAACTGAGCCTGTGGAGGGGGTGCCAGGGCATTGAGGCCTGGGAGAGACTTTGCGTCTCAGTTATTCAGCACACTCAAGAAAGGTATTACTGAATCTCTGTAAGACTCAGTTTCTTCATCCATAAAATGGGAACAATGGTGGAACTCTCACAGGACTGCTGAAAGGGTAGATGTGGCCATGGTTTTTGTAAATAGAAAATACCTGCCTGAAACATTGGAAAAAGGAAGCGTTGCAGAGAGAGGTAAAAGACACTGCCTGGGAGAAAAGAACAGGCACAGTGTACTGGGAGCATCTGCACGCTTGCACACACCCTCTTGCTTCAGGGTCCATCAGGGAACGGAAAGAGCAGGCGAAAGGGTGCTTTGCTCATTTCTCACCTCCGTCTTTCATACCGCTCCTCCATGTATCCTGAGGCCACATACCCACCTTTCCTGGTCCAAGACCTCCCTCAGTTCTCCGGGAAGGGCGCCACATCCTGTCCTCGGTGTCAGGGACTTTTGGGCAGAGGCTGCCCCCTGGTGGCTTACAGGCCAGGCCAAGAAGAGGAAGCACAAAGAAGAAGCAGTTCTTTATCACAACTAGCCCAAATTTATTAAGCCTTTGTGATGTGCCAAATTGTGTTCTAACATTATTTTACTTACATTATCTGACTGAATTCTCAAAACATCCCTCTGATGGTTCTACATTTCAGGAAGCAGAGAGCTCACCGAGGGTGGGTGTAGTTGGGAAGGTCTTCTGGATGGAGGAGGACCGGTCCTTGACCTGTCAGCTGGGGAGTGAGAGAATAGGATTTGGGGTGTGTGGAGAGTAAAGGAGAAGCAGGGTCAGAGGTGGAGAGTCAGGGGTAATGAAAACAAGGAGATCTAGGGAAGGGATTTCTGCTCGCATAAATCCAGTTTAGCTCTACGTGTGTTAATGAGCAACTACTATGTGTCAGCACTCCTTCTCAGCCCTGGAGGAGCTCATAGTTTGGTGATGGAAATGGAGAGCTGGGGGAGCACAGAAAACACAGAGTTTTCTGGGAGGGGGCTGTAGCAAGATCAATGGCCAGGAGGCCATTCCCACCCGTTCGCCCTCATCCCCAGGCCAGCTGGGATTTGGAATTCACTACCAATATGTGCTATGGAGGCTGAGGGCCCATGGGCATGACGTGGAGGGAGTGATGGAGGCTTAGTGTAGCCTGGGAGGCTGAGGCCTCTCCATCCTATTACCTTACAAATCCTGCTGTTTAGCTTGGGCTGGGAGCGCCTCAAGAGTTGTGTCTAGGAGAGCTGACTGAGGTCTCTCCCTCCTCTTTTACTTCCTCCCTATGAAGAGAGAGATACTGAATACTTGGGATCCCCTGGAATTCTTAAGGAGGTCCCCGGGAGGGGTGAGGTGGCATCGGGGGGTGAATTTCTCTCCTGGGCCCCTCACTCTTATGCAGAGGGGAGACATTTGTTGAAAGAGGTTAATACCTACTCATCCCCCGAAGTTTGATCTGAGCATCAATTGAGGACAGATCTAGGAAAGTCTCTGTACAATGCCATTAAGCCAGAGCCAACTCTCCTCCCATGAACGACTCTCAGTGAGTTTTGGGGATCATGGGGAACAGAGATGATCCAGAACGCTAGAGAAGAGTATGGTGTTGATTTCCCTAAGGCAGGAGAAGGTGGGTATTAGCAAAGGCAGCCTGGTAGAGCTACATCAATGCTCAGCAGATTCAAAGCAGATAATCAATATTTGAAACCATGAGAAACAGAAAAATGAGAGGGCCTGCACGGGGCCAGCAGGCACGCGACAGGCACGCAGTGGGCCAAGTGTCCTCCTCTCCTCCCCCAGGGCTTGCACTGGATTACTGGGATTTTTGTGAGGTCTTTGGCTGCACTTCTTGTGTTTCTGGGCCCAGGACGCATGGGCCGTATGATACTACAAAGTTCAGTAGCTGTCCCTACAGATGTCCACGAGCAAGCTGAGGAGGGCTCTGGGCTGTCTCGCTGGGTTCTGTCCTTGGTCCTGACTGTTACGAGTTTTTATTAAAGACTTAATGAAAACATAGAAGCTGTATTTATCAAATTCACAGGTTATGCAAGAACTAAGAGTTAGATTTTGACAGAATAGAAAAAAATACACCAGATGACACCCTGGCTGGTAAGGCTCAGTGGATTGAGGGCTGGCCTGAGAACCTAAGGGTTGCTGGTTTGATTCCCAGTCTAGGGCACATGCCTGGGTTGCGGGCCTGGTCCCCAGCAGGGGGCGCATGAGAGGCTACCACACATTAATGTTTCTCTTTCTCCCTTCCCTTTAAAAAATAAATAAATAAAATCTTAAAAACAAAAAACAACCACCACCACAACAAAAAAACCCAACCAGATGACATTTGATAGGGACCAATATAAAATTCTTCTTTTCTTTTTTAAAAAGTTAACAGCACAGAATAAGGCCTGGCTGGGGAACCCATTTGGTTAGAGTATTGTCCCATATGCCAGAGTTGCGGATTCCATCCAAGGTCAAGACACATACAGGAATCAACCAATGAATGCATAAAGAAGTGGAACAACAAATCGATGTTCCCCTCCCCTCTGTCTCTCTCTCTGTTCCTCTCTCTAAAAATCAATAAATAAGTCCTGGCTAGTGTGGCTTAGTAGATTGAGTGCTGGCCTTTGAACCAAAAAGTTTCTGGTTCAATCCCCAGTCAGGGCACATATGTGGGTTGCAGGCCAGGTCCCCAGTTGGGAGGCATGCAATAGGCAACCAATCGATATATCTCTTGAACATTGATGTTTCTCTCCCTCTCTCCCTCCCTCCCCATCTCTCTAAAAATAAATGAATAAAATATAAAATTACATAATAACAACATAAAAAGAAGAAGAAAGAATAGAACATTTTTTGTGAAAAAAACCTGGTGGGTTTAGCAGACCACAGCATTTTATGAACTGACACTGAAGTGGCTGCCTAAAAAAATAAAAAAAATATGTGACTAATAGATGGAAGATGTGCAGATCAGAGGTGGTGAGTCTCATTGCCCTTTGCACCTGGAGTATTGTTCTGGACACTGTATTTTAAGAGGGACCTCTATGGGTTGGAGTTGATCCCAGAGGAACATGACCAGATGGTAAGGGAACTTAGAATAATGTGTGATGAAGACTTTCTGAATCTACTCCTGTCTCAGGATTGCAGCTAAGCTCTGGAACTAAAAATCATAGCCTCTGATACATCCTAAAGAAAGTTGCCAGGCCCACCCTGAAGGTCTTATCCCTACTACCCAGTCTAGCCCCAGTCTACCCAGTCTACATGAGAGAAGGCAGGCAGGGTGCAAAGAAGCTGCGTGATGCGTCATGGAGTGCGGAGCGGCCAGCCAGGTCAGAGGCTGTGGCTTCCTCCTCCTCTGCTCAGAGGGGAAGGCTGAGGCCCACCATAGTGAGTGGGTGAGGGTTTCCACACGAACCCACTCCTCAAGTTTAAGGGTCTGTCTCAAAGACCCACTGGTGCCCTGCTCCTGGGCAGCTGTCTTTTAAGGCAGGCGGCTTGCTCATCTGTTCTTGCGCTTCATTAAGCAGAGGAAACAGCCCCTGAAGAAAGATGGCCAGGAACAGAGGGGGCCACACGGACAGAGGTGAGGTCCTGTGGGCCAAGAGGACTCCAGGAAAGGAGCCCCCATGTGGCAGCAAGCTTTAGGCATCACTGTCCACAAGGGAAGTTGCCTCTGCGGGAGTCTGGCCGGAGTATTAGGCGAGTGGCTCTCACGCCGTTTCCTCCGCCCTCCCGCAGTGGAGGAGAGCTTCGGTCGGCCAGAGAGTTGGGGTGGGGTGGGGTGGCAGTGTGTGAAAAGCAGAGCACTTCTCCCCCCTGCCTGTCTGTGGACATGGGCCAAGCCTGGGAAGGTCGCCGTGGAGGACTGCGATGAGGTGGGGGAGAAAGGCAGGATGGCCAGGCAGTTGCCACCATCAAGGCTCATAGTGGTGAGACCTGAACGTAGAGGTGGAGAGGAGGGAAGAGATGTGAAAATATTTAGGATGTATCAGTTCCAGGATGTACCAGTGCTTCCTGGTTAAAATCAAGTCTTCTTATCCCACCCCCCACCCCAACCCAGTTTTGGGAGAAGTAGATGGAGGAGAACTGAAGACTGGCAGGGGCTGGGCTGGGGTACCAGGGAGGAAGCTGAAGGTGAGGTCTGTTTCCTACAGGACCGCGCAGGCCTGGCCACACTGAGCTCCCACCAGGTAGGTGTCTGCTGACAGTCCTGTTGCAAGCTGGTCTGACCACACCCCTGAGGTGGGCTCTGAGCACCCCCCTGAGGGAGGGCACTGACATGCCACAGCGTGCCCGTTGGTGGTCCGGGCACCTGGGAGCAGCGTGGCGAGGTTAAGAGCACGGGCTCTGGGAGCAGACCTGAGTTTGAGTCCTAGAGAGACACTTCATCTCTCTGAGTCTCAGTTTCCTTAGCTGTAAAATGGGGACAGTAGCACCCACCCCACCTGAGCACAGAGGGCTCACCTCTGCGAAAGCAAGGACTGGGTCTCTCCTGTCCAAATTCCTAGCACCGGCTCCTCAGCAGGCATGTAGTGTAAGCTTGGGAAATGAATGAGTGCAGCGGGGGGACTTCAGTTGCACTCCCCATATGCTGGGGACACCCGCGCTCGGTTCCTGGTGCACAGGCACGTGCCCTTCTCTACACGGGCTGGGAGGGGATGAGACCTTCACTCCACCGGACCCAACACCACGTG